GACAAAAATGCAGTCCTCAAAACTGTCAAGGTCATGAAAAACAAGAAAAGACTAAGAAATTGTCATAAACCAAAGAACACTAAGGAGACATAACTAAAATCAATGTGGTACTCTGGATTGCATCCTGGAACAGAACATGGACATTAATGAAAAAACTGATGAAATCCAAATAAAGTTAGAGTTTAGTTTTTGAAAAATCCCTGAGTTCATAAAGATAATAAAACATAAACTCACTGGTTACCTTAGGTGGTGGCTGGGGTATCAATTCATTATTCTGAAACAAAAGTAAACAAAAGGAAAGATCTAGCATTTATTCTCTTATATGAACAGCAACCAAGTAACTGATAAAGAAAAGTTCTTCATTACAGAATTCCAACTAATAAAAAAGAAATGACAGTATTAGAGTATCATCATTTGCAACACCTAATGAAATACTGGGTCTAGCTAATGATCATTAATGGCTGCCAAATCAATAAGTAAAAGGCTGAAAGAGAACTTCATGATGGAGGAACGAGGCTGACGTCTAATCCCATGATCAATTTAAACATCACAAGAGAAATCAGTCATTATATGTCTCTGGAACTGATGCAATATAATGTTCACAACACCACCTATAAAGTATTCTGATAAAAAGGAAAATGCAAAAAAGAAAACAAAATCACTCTTGCTCAAGTACCCTTTGGGAAGAAAGAGATACATTTCTAAAACAGATGAACACTAACAATTATGTGTCTACTCCGTCCCTGGCCCTTTCCATATGCACTATGTCATAGTCAAAACAGCTTTTATGAGGTAACAGAATCACTACCAATATACGGATGAGGAGACCAAGGTTCAAGTAAGTCATTTTACCAAAGGCCACACAGATGGTATAAGGTTGAATAACAATATTACTAACCATGTAATCTTAGCAACAAAAGAGCATCTGTAATTCTTCAAAGAAAAATATGACTGCTACTAATTAAGAAAAAGCAAGCTACCAATTTTAAACTCAATCAGTGGAAAATTAGAACTTGTTTCTGAGTCAAAATAACTTCCATTTGCAGGAACTAAATGCACACCTTCCATTTATATAAAATAAAGTAAAATATTCATAAGCTAAACACATAATTTCCCAAAGACACGGCAAAAACTATTATTTTGTCTACCAAGCTTTCACTAGATATGCCTCCAAAGAACTTAATCTCATATAACCAGGCAGATATCTGTGAGATCTGCCCTTACAGACAAAGCTCAAAAATTCTAGTTTCCTAATTTTGTAGTGGCTACAGAGACCAAAATGGAATCTGGACCTCTAATAAAGGTCTACAAAGGTAATACTAAACAATTATAGCCCATGTTATAATCGAGATATTGATTGACAGGTCTAACTATTGAAGCAAGCCAACTGCCTCCTTGGCAACATAATTACAAATAAAGTTGTATCCCTAAAGATTATTAACTCAAAGATTATTAACCCATCCTCAAAAGATGATTAAATATTTATGCATATCCTGGAATAAATGAACTTTTTTTAACTCCACTTTTTTTTTTAAACCTGACACTTTCCATTTTAAGTTTTATAACGACGTCTGTCTTTAAAAATGAGTTTTCAAAGTATGTTGCTTAAAACTGTATAAAACTAAGTTACTTAAGTGCAGAACAAAGGAATTCAATCTGCCTTTAGTATTCTAACTAAAGACTTCCTGTTAACAGCAGGATTCCCTTCCTCTGGCACATACAGTTAAGTGCCTGGTTGATAAGTAGGCCAAAATATTAAAGGTCAAATTTCACGGTTAAAGGTAGAACTTGCTAGACCCTAAAACCCTTTGAGATATAATACAATTTGTCTTTGTGCTTCTGCCAAATACAATAAGATGAAGTTAACCCCTGAGATAGGTGTTTCTGGAAAGTCTAAAGAATAATAGGCAGGAATTACTAACTTCATTAACTCATTACAAAACCATTTCCTTCCATACCTTTTTTACGCTTATTACATTAGTAACAGCAATCAAAATTTAAAGCTCGTGAAAATAAATCTGTCTATAGTACATCCTTACCCTCCCACATACTTATTTTTTCCTTTCAATTCATTCAACATCCTTGAACTCTCTCTAGCATAAACCTTAAAAATATAATAAGTCCCAAATCTTTTCAAAATGAATTCAAGAAGCTTCTTGCTATTGTCTCACATTCAGATTTTTTCCCTCTGGAAAAGACAATTGTTAGGCTTTTCTGTTTGGTTAATAATTGGTTATTAATTCTTCTCTGCAACCTAAGAGACTCCTTCAAAGCAGGTTTTTCCTAAAAGGTCAAATATTAAATCTTATTGCCCCAATATAAATCAATGTTAAGTAAAATTTCTCAAGTATGTATAACCTCTGTAATAAAAGTAAATCTTTTAAAAATGGCATTCTTTAATTTGAAAAAAGTGTCCAATTAACTTATATTTATTTCTAAATAGTGATTGCTTTAAAGTCTGCATTAGACTTATAAAAACTGTCAGATTGCTCCTAAGAGATCAGGAGAAATTTAGTTCTTGAAGTATTTTCTCAATGATATTTTGCAAATCAGAAATTTAAAATAGGATTTCAACATATTATTAATTCTTCATACTTATATTCAGGCAGAAAAGTGTTAATGAGCTATCAGTGATGTTTGTGATATAAACATACATGGGAAAAGTGAGCGCAAAGAACAATCTGTATTAATCGTGAACAGATTGTTATGTTGTTATAAGCTATTCCTGCTACTCTTCAGCTACCAAAACCCTCTTAAGACTTCAGACTTGATATCTCTGGATTCATCCACTTAATCAACCATTTATTTTTGGAGCTCCTCCTATCTAGCCAGGTGCTGTGCTAATCCTATATGACTCCTCCTTTCCTCATCCTTCAAACCCCATTAGGCCAAGTCTCATCAATGCAGATGTGTACCACTTCTCCCCTTTTCCAATGTCCCCAACCTAGGTCATGACGGTCCTCATTAAAATATAAAATATTAACCATCGAACATGAACCAAATGAAAGATTAGAGTCACAGAAACTACACATAAATATCGTATTATATTAAGAAACTAATTCAAGTAAAATGCAGGGATATGAAACTTCACAGATTTCAATTACAATAATATTAAAAAAAGAATGGAAAAAAGATGAAGGAAATAACTAAAATATTAAGAATCTCTGCTATGATGGGTACTTGTCTGCATTTTGAAAATTTCCTATAATAAGCAGATACTACGCTAAAAGAATATAAATGCGCTAAACTTAATATTTTGGTTGGAAAACAATTTCTGAGGTTTAAAACAAGATATTAGAAATAGCCAAAGTAAACACTGATGTATATAATTATCTAATCCTTTAACCTAGAAGTTTTTTAAAAATTAAAGACACTCACCCATGCTCATTACAGTTATTTCTATGCCTAGAAAACCTTTCCTCTACAATGTCCCAATGAGACTCCAACGTCAACTTTCACAAAATAAGCTGCTCTTACCATCTATTTAACGCTATTCCTCAATTTTAAAAACTTTAGTGATTTACTCTCCCAAACCCATAATTCTCATTTTTCCTTCAAAAATGTCATAGATTTTCCCTTTCCTTTCCAATAAAACCAGTACCTGCAGTCCTCTTTTCTCTGGGAATATACCCTGAGTACAACTAGTAAACTAATCTCTAAACAGTGCTTTCATAAAATGACTTGTCTTTTTGAAATCTACAATGGTTTTACTTAATTCAAATTTCAATCCTACAGCTTGTTGCTGGACCACAAATCTCCATTCCACTTTACATCTTATTTCTTCAAACTAGGCAGAACTATACAGTTCCTTGGATTTACAACATGTCTACTCTGTTTTCAATGGGCTATTCCCAATCTTCCACCTAAAATGCCCTTCTCTGTCCCGTTAAAGTCCAAGCTCAAAGCACAGTGAAGTCCTACCTCGTCCACAAATCATTCTCTAAGTATTCCAGCTTACCCTATCTCTCTTCTGATTCCCTATTAAACTTACAGTTAATATCACAAAGTATACAAACTATTCTGTGATTATTTTGTATACATTGGTTTTGTTCCCCCAAATAAGGTACCAGAAAGGAGTACCAAGAATGTGAGGGAAAATGCTAGCCATATGATTCACACTAAATGTTTTCTACACTCAAAATACTCATGCTCCAACTGGTTTTGTCATCTTATTTGAAATTTTGAGAGCTAAAATGTAAATGTCTCATGTATTTTTTTATTTTAATCTGCCAAAATTTAAAGCCTATAATTTACAGGAAAAAATAATCTAATGAAAAAGTTTAATTTTCAGCTTGCTTCAGTGTATCTGGTGTATTCTGGTACTTCAGGAATAGAGCAGAACTGTACTGCTCCTCTCTCTTCTGCAACTTGTACAAGAATCTCCAAGTCAGCAAATATGGAAAACAGATTTTAAAAAATTATATGGCTAATGTTTTTGCCCATTCCAAAATAGAATAAAAAGACATGTTTAACATGCAATTAATCATTTCACAATAAGTCTTTTTGATCAAATTGGGAACTAATTATTGAACTATGATTTGTTAAGAGAAATTGCAGGTTCTAGCTAAGTAATGGTGTAGCTGCCCATAGTATCACCTACCATGCCCAATTCTTTCTTATATGCCTTGCCTTTCCTAGGTTTAAATCCAGGTTCTCTGAAACCCTAACCTTTCCATTCTACCAAACCTAAACTTAGGTTCAATCCAACCACAGACATTAAATTATCTAGGTTTTCAAGGTTCATAGTATTAACAGTCAAGATAACCTTCAGATAAGTACCAAGTTTTTATAAAATGAGTTAAAATTAATGGACACAAAATTCTTTCACTCAGTGTAGGTTAATGATTATTTGCAAGCTGGCTTAGCAAGCCTGGCAAAATAGAGAAGTATTTCTCTAGGAATATCTGTTGGCTTCCTGAGAAAATCTAGAAAAGATTTTATACTTTTAAATTAAGTATTAAAGAATCTAAACTAATGTAATAGCTCTAATTTTAAGTTACCTGAAGCATGCCTCCCCTGATTCTGTGACATTCTTTGGAAGAGCTCGTGGTTGTATTCATAATATCTATAGTCTTCATGTGTACGATCTCCAAGTGGGCGCCTTCTCTGACCATCAAAATAATTATCTGAATAATAATATCGGGAACCAGAGTCTCCATTTTCAACAGCAAAATTAACTTCTGTTAAAAATGACTGAGAAGAGCCATATTCCCTAGGGACATCTGCTAGACTCCTGGCAAGATAAGAAGGTGCAGATAATCTGTTGCTTTCTCTTCTCATTATTTCATGAGGTGTTCTTTGAATTGGAGTTCTAAGGAAACTGTGGTTTCTTGAAACTATTCCATCTCCAGAAGCTGAAAAGGCATTAGGGTTTGACTCTGGAAGACAGATATCAGTTCGTCTTGGAATGGTTGGACCGTGCCGGATGAATGAAGGCATGAGATCTATAATAAAACAAACAATAAAATGACCACTTTAGTAATTAATAAATATGCTTTTTAAAAGTTGTTCACATATCTATCGCTCCAAAATACAAAATTTCAATAGACTTAAGAAAACACAATTAAAACTTTTGATTTAAGATAGTACTTGGGCATTTTAAAGTTGAGGTTGATTAATATTTTCCCATTCAAATGCATTTATAATGTGTACAAACATGTAGAATCAAATGTATTCCACAAATTACCATACATAATATGATGAAACATTAATAAACTTAAATATGAAATATATATTAATAAGATATTCATGATTAAATGTAAAAATAGGAAACAATCTAATAGCTACCAACATAATTTAAGATTATAGTTTTGTTGATTTCACTTCATTTTCAAAATTCCCCCAAATCCTTCTTCAAGCAAACACAATTTCAAAAATAAAAACAACATAATGCTATTCCCAAACATGTAAAGGTAGATTTCCTTAAAAAGATTTTTAAATTATTAACCTGGTCTTCCTACTCCTGGAATTATGGAGCACTAGTACAGTGATCAAAAAAGCTGGAAAGCCAAAAATTTAGCTATGTAAATGAAAAAAATTAAAAGATCTCATTTCACAAAGGCACACAAATGTTGAATTAGTTCAAAAAACACCAAGCCTGTCAACAACGAAAAAAGCAAACAATCCAATTTACAAATGAGCAGAAGACTTGAACAGATATTTCTCCAAAGAGGAAATACAGATGGCCAGTAGACATATGAAAAGATGCTCAAGGTCACTAATCATCAGAAAAATGCAAATTAAAACCACAAGGAGATATCACCTAACATCTGTTAGAATGACTATCATCAGTAAATCAAAGAACAAGTGTTGGTGAGGATTAGGAGAAAAGGGAACCCTCATACACTGTTGGTGGGATTGTAAATTAGTACAGCCACTATGGAAAACAGTTTGGACGTTTCTCAAAAAATTAAAAATGGATATACTGTTTGACCCAGGAATTGTGCTTCTGGGTATTTATCCAAAGAAAACCAAAACAATAATTCATAAAGATCTATGCACCCCTATATTCATGGCAGCACAATTTAAATAGCCAAGATATGGAAGCAATCTAAATGCCCATCAACAGATGATCAGATAAAGAAGTTATGGTTCATATATGCAATGGAATATTACTCAGCCATTAAAAAAAAATGAAATCTTATCATTTGCAACAACGTAGATGGACCTAGAGGTTATTATGCTGAGTGAAATAAGTCAGAGAAAGATAAATATCATATGATTTCACTTATATGTGTAATCTAAGGAACAAAAAGCACAAGCTAATCAAAAACAGACTTACAAATATAGAGGACAATCTGGTGACAGACAGAGGGGTGGGGGTGGGGGACTGGGAGAATGAGGTGAAGAGTTAGAGAAGTATAAATTAGTAGTTGATAGATGGTCATGGGGATGAGGGGCATGGCATAAGGAATGCTGTTAGTATTAATGTATTGGCTAGGTATAGAGCCAGAGGAGAAAAAGAGCAATTAGGCGGATCATTTTATAAACTATATAAATATCTAACCAATGTACTGCATACTTGAAATTAATAGAATTAAAAAAAAATAACCTCCAAGCCTGAAACTATGGCTCCTTTAAGAACAAGTAATTATAATTCGAAACAGAACAGGAGAACAATGCAGTTCAGGATATAGTACTTCGGAATACAGAATTTGAACAGCTTAGACATTCCGGGTTAGAAAGCAGAAATACCCTTAAAAAATGAAAACTGGATTTGGAGACCATTTTCATTAATTAAGTAAACAATATAAGACAACACTCATATTAATAACCTGCAAAAGCAAACTCTAGACAGAAATTAATATTCAAATAAACAAGGCTCAACATTTGAGGAAACTAGAAGAAAATACCATATCAAGTTATTTGCTTAAAAGTAAGGCAAACATATTTCATGATTTCAAGCAATGTTTAATAACTTTATTTGCAGCAAACTGCAAAAATCACAAACTTAGCCAAAAACATAAGAGACTGTGTAACTAAAAAATGAACTGTTAATAAAAGGTTTAAAAATCAAGTTTCAGGTTACTGATGTACTCATCTTATCTATTTTGCTGTTCTATAAGAAAGCACTTCAAATACAAGGATAAATGTGGAAGGCTGATTATGTGGTTATAATGGAAAAACATGCTCTCCACCCCTTTCTGTGTGATCTTGGACAAATACTAGGAATCCCTATGAGCAGCTTTCCCAATTATAACATGAGGTAATGCTTAAGTCACAAGGTTACTACAAGCTTCCAAGAAGGAAACTTACACAAAGAGCCAGCAGGCAGTACGAGTACCAAAATATCAGTTCCTTACCTCACAAATGATCTGAACACACAGCAAGAATTAAAAATTCAAAATATTCAGCTGGAAAACCAGAGTCAAATACTTAAACTCAATAGAAGAAAAGTGCGGGGATGGGGGGTAGAAATACATCTTAATGTAGTGAAAAAATTGTTTTCTGTAATTCCCCCTAAAATATGATAGAAATCATTTTGAGTGCTCTGTCTTTTTGGAATCTTCAAAGATCTTATTTGAAGAAATTCTCATGAATACGCCCAAATACAGATTTGGGGTTCTTTACTCTGAGATCTAAGATTGATGAGGCTTTGGGTAGTGGCTACAATAGCGAAAGTCAGCTTTCATCTCCTCGTGTCTGCATCCAGCAGCAGAGCTAAGGGATTCTATCCAAGAATTCGCACAACTTTGAGCACAGACGAGTGACACACTCAATGTCTGCAAATACAAGGTATACCGCGACGTGCTATAAGAAATAATCACTTTTACTCCTACAGCATCAGGGAATCAGTAGTTTGTTTCCTAAAGAGCCTCTTTATTCCAGTAAAACCAACAACAATGCCATAAAGAGATAGGGAAGTTTGTTATTTTTAGGGGGCCCACAGGGAGAAGGGGGGCTAATATAAGTTTCTTTCTCTTAATCGCTTTTCAATATCAAACAAGAGTTCAGACATAATGAAATTTTAAAAAAAGAAAAAAATTATTTCAGAGACCAATAGGAATGAAAAGGCGCGGGGAGCGGCGGCCGCCCGAGACAGGTATGGGTGCGCCCCGCCCGACACTTACTCCGCAGCAGAGGCGAAGTCTCCTTCTTCACGTACTTGCCCTGCACCTCGGCAGGCTTAGACACTTCGTTTTTGGTTTTCTTTCGGGACAACATCCTGGTCGACGAGGCCCCAGGCCGCGCCAAGCAGCCTCCCTAGGGCTCCGCGCCGGGCGCCGGCAGTCCCCGCCGCCACCTCCGCCGGCGCCGCCGCCTCCTTTCCTCCCGAGCCGCCGCCGCCGCCTCCTTCCCTCCAGAGCCGCCGCTGCCGCCTCTCCGCAGCCCGGGGTCGCCCGCAGGGACTGCTGCATGTTCGGGGCGCTAAGCGCGCCGACCGCCGCTCCGTCGCTTGTCAGTTCCTTCCCGGAAGTCTTCCCAGTCCGCGACGCTGCCCGAGGACTCCGTGAGGAGAGGCCGGGGACGCCGGGCCAGGGCCATGGTACGCCGCGGGCCGCCTAGTAACCGCTACCGCTACCGCCGCAGCCCCCGCCGCCGCCTACGTCCCGTAAACTTTCGCCGCGGCCGCTGGGAATTCTGGGAAACTCGACGCCTCGCGAGCGCCGCCGCCGCCCCTCCCCCACCCCGGCTCCGGGGCGCGGCTCCGGCTCCGGGACGCGGCGCTGGGCTCCCGGCTAACTGTCTGTCCCGAGGAGCAGCGGACCCTTCGCGCTTCCTCGGCGAGAGGCAAGTTCCGAGGACGGGGAACCGCAAGGATAAAGCCGGCCAGACTGAGCTCGGGAGTCGTCCTGAGCTCACTCAGTGGGGTCCCTTCTTCCCACTAATTTTTTTCCCTCAGGACTTTGAGGGAGCCGCTGACGCTCCCCGAGACGCGTTCCCGTCATCATCTTGAGTGCGGACGTCCGTCCCTCTTAGAGTTTCTTGGGCTGGTAATTCAGGTCCCTTGAAATGCAGAATGCTTCGAGTTGAACGACCTCAATCCCCACCTAAGCTAGTGCAGCACCAAAAAAATCTAGATGCTTCTGTTGAAAACATCCATCTGCCCAATACTAATTAAACAAATATAAATCTATAATTTCCTGTGTGCCAGGGAGTGCGTCCTTCTGATGAAAGGGGGGGGGGGAACGGAGGAAGAAAAACAAAAGAGTTTCTACCACCTCTTCAATTTGATGTTGGCATATTTAATCACTCTCGTTAAACTTAGTAGCCACATACTTTCTCTTGGATTTAAATATTACAGTCTTGCTTTTTTGAGCATTAAAAAGCAAGAGCTGGAATTTTAAATCTAAAATACACCTTATATCTATATAACTTAGAGCTGTCAAATGTAAAGGGTAAGATTTGGAAAATAAGATGAGATCCAGCCTTAGTGACAAGTCTTTCATAATGGAGAATGCTTTCCCTGAGATCAAAACATCTTATAAGAGGTGTCAAACTAACAAGCGAGGAATGTTTTACTACACAAGATTAGGATGATGGTCAAATTTTGTTTCACTGTGAATAAACAAGACATTTTATTTCATGTCTGTCTCCATCTTTGCATCCCTAGGTACAGAGTTCTCACAATTCATTCAATAACCAACAAAAATTTACTGAGCACCTATTATGCTAGGCACCGTTTTGGGTGCTTGGGGTATAGCAATAAACAAAACACAAGAATCCTTACTCTTGTGGGAAGAACAACAATAAAGAAGGAAAATAAGTAAAATATACTATGTCACATAGTGATAAGTGCTGAAGTGAAAATACAGCAAGAAAAAGAGAGCTTGTGATTTTAGGCAGTGCGATAGAATGACCAGAGGAGACTGGAGTTAAGTGACAAAATGAGAAAAGTGACAATGCAGCTATCTGGAGGAAGAATATTTCAGGCAGAAGAAACAGCAAGTGCAAAGTCACTGTAAGTCACCATATTTTTAGCAGCCTGGAAGTAAAGAAGGTCTTTGTAGCTAGAGCAGAGGAGAGTAGTGGGAAATGAGGATGGATAGGTAACAATGGCTCGGGCATCTAGGGCTCTGTAGGTCATTGTAAGAAATTTCACTATGAGCACAATCTAACTTAATGTTTTAATAGGGTCACGCTGGATGCTGTGTTGAGAACAGACCGGGAACAACGGTAAAAGAAAGATCAGTCAGAAGCTATTGCTGGGTGGACCAGGGTAATAGCAGTGGAGATGATCAAAAGTGGTCAGATTTTGGACATATTATAGACAGCCAACAGTATCTGCTGACAGATTGAATACGGAGTGTGAGAGAGAACTCAAGGATGAGCGTGGGTATGTAAGTCTTAACAATAGAACAGAATGGAGTTCAATAGAATAGCAGATTTGTACTTTGAAAGGAATATAGAAAAGCAGTTACTTGTTCCTATGGTTCAGATACTAAACTGTCGGGAGTGTGGATGGAGAACAAAGAAAAATGAAATATAAATGAAGAGACAATAAGATTTTGTTACACAAAAGGTATGAAAGCAGGAGATGGAGGGAAGGAGGTGCCAACAAAGTGCCAGGTTTCTGCCCAGGGTTTACCTCACAAGGATAAGAAAACAAAAGGATACTAGGATGTTAAATAAAGCCAGCTCTTCACACCTGGGGTTTTCCCACAGACTGAAATACAAGATACCTTTCCCATTCATGGGGGAAAGAATCATAGAATTTTATAGTTGAAAAAGAATTCTGAGATCAGCTAGGCTAACCTCATTTTATTGATGTGGAAACAAAACTAGAAAAAGTAAATGTTTGCCTCAGATTATATTTCTAGTTAGCAGACTAGTCTCAGAACTGGAGTGTTCTATTTGCATTTTGGGCCTTTTTCTGCTACGGCACATTAAGAATTCTACTAATGTGAGTCCAGAGTGTTTCTAACACAGTTGTTTTGAAAGCCATCCATGTTCCATGTAAAGTACTCCCCTTTTCAATGCTATTTTAATTCTTTGAATTACAGCAGAGAGACAGCCTCAATTAGGTGCTCTTTTTAAGAGCTATAATCTGCCTTTTTATCAAGGAGGGTGCATTCCAGAATCAACAATCTGCAGGCAGCATCAGCAGTAGCAGTGTATAGCAATGTGTGAACTTTGAACCCAAATCCTTACATATAGATGCTTTGAATTCACATCTGTTTTCTAGAAATTTCTGGACTTCTGGGAGTTTTCATTAAGGAATCCAGATTTTGTAGCTATAATTCTCCAGACATTGCTCTTGGTAAGGCTAATAGTGTATTACATAATAGATATTTTGTTCCCCTTGCAGTTGCATCCTCAGTGAAGAAAATTAACCATTAGGGAGTTACTCATGTCTTATCAACAACTTTTTTTTTTTAATTTAACATTAAAATTTTTTTTAAAGGAAGCAATAAAGTGTTAATCTGTGCTAACCTCATAACTCTCTGGGTCTTAGGTTTCTCATCTGAAAATAAAGATATTGGACTATTTGAATTCCAAAGTGTCTTTCAGCTCTACAGTGTTGTATCACATAGGCGGAAGGAAATACACAAAAATAAGTTACCCTAGTAGGATAATTGACATATAGGTGATTTCCTTTCTTTAAAAATATTTATCTTTATTGCTATGTTTTCACTAAAAAAACTGTTAAAGAAAGTGTTAACATATTAGCATTATATAAAGTCATCATTAGGATAAAATAAAATTTCATGCCTGATTGCTGCTTTCAAAGAGAGCCAAGGTTCTTATGCCATTTTTACTTTCTCTAGCAAGAGTCATGTAAAATTTTAATGGCCAAGTTATCTAATAAAGGATTGTTCAAGAAATAACCCTATGTATGGAGCTTCTTCAAAAAAATAAAAATAAAAAGGAGATAAGCTTCTATTCTCCAATGCACTCTTTTTGGTCATGTAACAGCAAACTTTTTTGTCTCAGGAGGAAATAATAATTGTGGTAGAATCTAGGGCTCTTCAAGCCTCCAAAGTTTTGCTCTTAAAATCTTGGAGGATACAATCCTCAGTGTCCTTTTAGGTAGAAGCTTTAGTTGTTTCCTAAGAAGGAAAAGGATGTGTGATGTGTACACAGCTCTGAAAATACAAATGCTTAATATTAACAAATAAGGTGGATTACCAAACTTCTCTATGAATTATCCCTACGTAACATAGATTACGTAGTAATGTAGAGAAATAGTATCACAAGTCCAATCAAAAGGAGTCAAGCTGGGAAACTTGTCCCTAAGCTTAGCTCTTCTTCCTATATACTGTTATTGCCAAAATTTGGAGGTCCTCTGAGACCCTGACAGCTAGCCAAAGTGAGTCTTTTATTCTTGGCAATGCTAGCCTTTGACTTCAGTTGGCTATACTTATAGATCTTTCTGTATCTTTGTCTCCCTGGCCCTAGAAACTTTTACCTTTCTTCCAAAATTGGACTTTACCTTTAGACACTTTTAACTTAACTTTTAACTACTCTTTGCAATTATCAATTTTTACTTTGTTTATGGTAAGATTTTTTTTTTTCGAGTACTCAGTAAAAATTTACCGAGGGCTTTCATTATATCTGATGTATATCTAATGTGGAAACGCCTGCATCCCTTCTACACCACATGGGAGCCAAAGAATACTCAGAAATGTCACCTCTACTCCATCTTCCTAAATAAGCCATGCCACTATTTCTCTTTTGCTGTGGCTAATCCTTGCTGATGCAGAGGCCCTCTGCAAAGATGATCTTTAAGAGTCCCTAATGAGAATTGGGATAAAAAATTCTCAATAATTCCGAAAAAGCTTCTCAATAGCTGTTAGGATGGATTTCATAAGCCTTTTAACTCTTACTCCAGCCTGGGATCTACTCTCTCTGCTCAGTGTTTCTTCTCCCTGCCAAAACTCTGTACTTCCAGGTCATGTCTTCTGGGAACTTACTCCATATCATCTCTTCTCTATCTTTTGGACTGCTTTCTTGAAGGCTCTACTTGATGTAGGGAGGAGGTATGAGAACTGGATGTTAAACCAAGCTGTATTCAGAGCCTCTGATATGCTTTCAGAAATCTAGAAGGAACGTTCCTGCTGGGATTACTAACAAACCATATACCCATACCGATACTGTGAAGGGAAAACATTATTTAAGTTGCACCCTATGCAAAATAAACTCAGTCATTCATTCTCTGTGGACAGACTGTAGGGAACCTTTAGAACAGAGGTTGGAATTGGTGGCATGCCTTTAATACTGCATACCCATGTCTTTCACACTACATACCCATACCATCAAAGGGAAATAAGTAAACAAACTCTTTAAACTGTAATTCATAGAAACTAAGAAGGACATATAAACTGAATTCAATAAACTTTCCTTTGACTCTAATTCTAGCATGCACTTGAATTCTTTCTTGAGCACAGTCAAGGACCCGCCCTGGGTGCAGGACTTGAGTCCCCACTCAGGGAGATTCGCTCCATCCTGCATCATCTTTCCTGACTAACCACAAAGGCATCAAAGGACAAATTGGTCCAGTCAAGTATGCCATGGCTCCCCTATTTTTAGAAAGTGGGAAATTTATCCCAAGCCATGTAGATCAAGCGGCCTTGGGCAACTGCTGAACAACGTTCCAGGGATCTGGTA